TGCTACATCAGGTTACTTCTCCCCTCTATGTTCTGTGGCTACCTCGGGTCACCTCTCCCTCTATGTCTTATGGCTACCTTAGGTCAACTGTCCCCTCTATGTGCTGTGGCTACCGCAGATAACCTCTCCCCTCTATGAACTGTGACTACATCAGGTCGTCTCTGCCCTCTATGTACTGTGACTACCTCAGATAACCTCTCCCCTCTATGAACTGTGACTACATCAGATCACCTCTCCCCTCTATGTACTGTGGCTACCTCAGGTCACCTCTCCCCTCTATGTACTGTGACTACCTCAGATAACCTCTCCCCTCTATGAACTGTGACTACATCAGGTCACCTCTCCCCTCTATGTACTGTGACTACATCAGATAAGCTCTCCCCTCTATGTACTGTGACTACATAAGGTCACCTCTCCCCTCTATGTACTGTGGCTACCTCCGGTCACCTCTCCTCTCTATGTACTGTGACTACATCAGGTTACCTCTCCCCTCTATGTACTGTGACTACATCAGGTCCCCTCTCCCCTCTATGTACTGTGACTACATCAGATAAGCTCTCCCCTCTATGTATTGTGACTACATCAGATAAGCTCTCCCCTCTATGTACTGTGACTCCATCAGATAAGCTCTCCCCTCTATGTCCTGTGACTACATCAGGTTACCTCTCCCCTCTATTTACTGTGGCTACATCAGGTTATCTTTCACCTCTTTGAACTATGGCTACTTCAGGTCACATCACCCCTCTATGTACTGTGGCTACCTCAAGTCACCTCTACCTCTATGTACTGTGGCTACATCAGGTTATCTTTCCCCTCTTTGAACTATGGCTACTTCAGGTCACATCCCCCCTCTATGTACTGTGGCTTCCTCAGATCGTCTCTCCCCTCTATGTACTGTGACTCCATCAGATAAGCTCTCCCCTCTATGTCCTGTGACTACATCAGGTTACCTCTACATCAGGTCACCTCTCCCTTCTATTGTGGCTACCTCGGGTCACCTCTCCCTCTATGTTCTGTGGCTACCTCAGGTCACCTCTCCCCTCAATGTAGTGTAGCTACCTCAGGTCACCTCTCCCTTCTATGTACTGTGACTACATCAGGTCAACTCTCCCTTCTATGTACTGTTGCTACATCAGGTTACCTCCCCTCTATGTACTGTGGCTACCTCAAGTCACCTCTGCCTCTATGTACTGTGGCTACATCAGGTCACCTCTCCCTGGTTACCTCTCCCCTCTATGTACTGTTGCTACATCAGGTTACTTCCCCCCTCTATGTACTGTGGCTTCCTTAGGTCACCTCTCCCCTCTATGTACTATGACTACATCAGGTCACCTCTCCCTTCTATTGTGGCTACCTCGGGTCACCTCTCCCTCTATGTTCTGTGGCTACCTCAGGGCACCTCTCCCTTCTATGTACTGTGACTACATCAGGTCATCTCTCCCTTCTATGTACTGTTGCTACATCGGGTCAATTGTTGCTACATCAGGTTACCTCTCCCCTCTATTTACTGTGGCTACATCAGGTTATCTTTCACCTCTTTGAACTATGGCTACTTCAGGTCACATCTCCCCTCTATGTACTGTGGCTTCCTCAGATCACCTCCCCCCTCTATGTTCTGTGGCTACCTCAGGTCACCTCCCCCTCTATGTACTGTGACTTTATCAGGTCACCTCTCCCTTCTATGTACTGTTGCTACATCAGGTTACCTCTCCCCTCTATGTACTGTGGCTACATCAGGTTACCCCTCCCCTCTATGTACTGTTGCTGCATAAGGTTACTTCTCCCCTCTATGTACTGTGGCTACCTCGGGTCACCTCTCCCCTCTATGTACTGTGGCTACCTCAAGTCACCTCTACCTCTATGTACTGTGGCTACATCAGGTTATCTTTCACCTCTTTGAACTATGGCTACTTCAGGTCACATCACCCCTCTATGTACTGTGGCTTCCTCAGGTCACCTCTCCCCTCTTTGTACTGTGGCTTCCTCAGATCGTGTCTCCCCTCTATGTACTGTGGCTACATCAGGTCACCTCTCCCCTCTATGTACTGTGGCTACCTCAAGTCACCTCTACCTCTATGTACTGTGGCTACATCAGGTTATCTTTCACCTCTTTGAACTATGGCTACTTCAGGTCACATCACCCCTCTATGTACTGTGGCTTCCTCAGGTCACCTCTCCCCTCTTTGTACTGTGGCTTCCTCAGATCATCTCTCCCCTCTATGTACTGTTTCTACATCAGGTTACTTCCCCCCTCTATGTACTGTGGCTACCTCGGGTCACCTCTCCTCTCTATGTACTGTGGCTACCTCAGGTCACCTTTCCCTCTATGTCTTATGGATAGCTCAGGTCAACTGTCCCCTCTATGTGCTGTGGCTACCTTAGATAACCTCTCCCCTCTATGTACTGTGACTACATCAGGTCACCTGTCCCCTCTATGTACTGTGGCTACATCATGTTACCTCTCCCTTCTATGTACTGTGGCTACCTCCGATCATCTCTCCCCTCTATGCACTGTGGCTACCTCGGGTCACCTCTCCCTCTACGTCTTATGGCTACCTCAGGGCAACTGTCCCCCCGTTATACTGTGGCTACCTCTGGGCACCTCTCCCCTTGCTAAACTGTGGCTACCTCAGGACATCTCTCCCCTCTATGCACTGTGGCTACCTCGGGTCACCTCTCCTCTCTGTGTACTGTGGCTACCTCCGGTCACCTCTCCCTCTACGTCTTATGGCTACCTCAGGTCCACTGTCCCCTCGTTATACTGTGGCTACCTCCGGTCACCTCTCCCTCTACGTCTTATGGCTACCTCAGGTCACCTTTCCCTCTATGTCTTATGGATAGCTCAGGTCAACTGTCCCCTCCATGTGCTGTGGCTACCTTTGATAACCTCTCCCCTCTCTGTACTTTTGCTACATCAGGTTACTTCCCTCCTCTATGTACTGTGGCTACCTCGGGTCACCTCTCCTCTCTATGTACCGTGGCTGACTCAGGTACTGTGGCTACCTCGGGTCACCTCTCCTCTCTGTGTACTGTGGCTACATCAGCTCACCTCTTCTATGTCTTATGGCTAACTCAGGTCAACTGTCCCCTCCATGTGCTGTGGCTACCTTAGTCTCTGCCCTCTATGTACTGTTGCTGCATAAGGGTACTTCTCCCCTCTATGCACTGTGGCTACCTCGGGTCACCTCTCCTCTCTGTGTACTGTGGCTACCTCGGGTCACCTCTCCTCTCTGTGTACTGTGGCTACATCATGTTACCTCTCCCTTCTATGTAATGTTGCTACATCGGGTCTCCACTACTCTCTATGTACCATGGCTGACTCAGGTACTGTGGCTACCTCGGGGCACCTCTCCTCTCTATGTACCGTGGCTGACTCAGGTACTGTGGCTACCTCGGGTCCCCTCTCCCTCTATGTCTTATGGCTACCTCAGGTCAACTGTCCCCTCGTTATACTGTGGCTACCTCAGGTCACCTCTCCCCTTGCTAAACTGTGGCTACATCAGGTTATCTCTCCTCTAGTTATACTGTGGCTACCTCAGGTCACCTCTCCCCTCGTTATACTGTGGCTACCTCTGGTCACCTCTCCCCTTGCTAAACTGTGGCTACATCAGGTTATCTCTCCTCTCGTTATACTGTTGCTACAGTATTTACTGTGGCTTTTTATGTTATCAGTCCTGTCTATGTACTGTGACTATAGCTACTTTGGGTCACATCTCTCCTTTATCGCCTCCCTGTATACTGGTACTGACGCTACTTCATGTCACCTGATGCATTTGGCGGATTTTTGAGTTCCGAGAGGACCTCATTTTGTTGCAATATTTACCCCCTCGCGCGTGTACTTAACTAAATACGAGTTGGACGTACATCTTTTCAAACGTGTTGCAAGGGAGATAACCGCAAGAAATAGGCATGATGATTGTCTCCAAAAGCTCCAGTGTCGCTTGAAATAATATTTTGTATTTCGTAACTATGTAATACTGTTGTGTGTGTTTCTAAATCCCAACTACGAGCCCTAACTATCTCATAATAAGTATGGCTGGAATATTTCGGTATATCTGCTCTTTATTATTTTGTCATATATTTCCGGCTACATATTTTTTTCGTATAATTGTTTGCGAAAAAAAGTCATAATCTGAATTACAGAATATATGATAACTGATAAATTAAGGTGTCTGAAACTTGAGTTTAATTTATATTACCGGCATCTGTGACTTAATTTTGTTAAATTAACAACAAGACAAGCACATTTTGTTTATCATAGTGAATTTGATAAAATTTATATAGAAGACCAACACTTAATTTGTGACTTAAAACTACTGAAATTGAAAGAAAATACAAAACAATGTTTCGACCTTATATTTTTGTTTTATGCCGGAACAACCTAATGCGCGAATCAACCTAGGGCGAACGGGATTTCGGGCGAAACAACCCGGAACCGCATGAACCGATATCAAAGATGTTCTTCAAAGTTATCTTCAATCATCATATTGTTGGATATTGATACTTTCTATTCATTTGTTTATATTTTTTCCCTTTTACATCTCAGACCAGTTTTTAAAATTAGGTTCTGTCTGGAACTGTCCCTTAGGCTACATTCGCGTATCCCGGTTGAAACGGTACGAAATTTTCCACGATAAACGAACACACTTGGACCGTTTTATAAGCAGAGCTAAAAATCCACAGTTTCGAAGAATAAAAAACAATGTATCAAGAATATCAAGCCCTTCTCTCACGCGTCCACTAAATTACATAACGTATCTTAAAAACTGCATGTGACTTGACATTGTTTAAGAAAGAAATAACGCAAATCAGCATTTTAGTTTCGGTCAGGTACGTCTGGACCACTCAATCTACACGTACCAAATTTTCCTGATGTCAGCCTCGGTCCAAATCTGTATCTTTCGTTTTCTTTACAGGTTCAACCGGTTCAACCGTTTCAACCGTTTCAACCGGTTTATTTATTTTCCGGAATATTTGTAGCGGTTTCCCGATTTCTTAAATCTTTATTAGACATGTAACTTTATTTCCGTTGTAAACATGGCCGAAAAAGTTGACTTTGCCGAGGTAAACATTTGTCTGTTTTAATATAAGGAGACAGTCTATTGAACTATTCGGCTGTTAGCATGTTAGATCTGTCAGGTGATATGTGACGTTGTGATATTTCTTAAGTAAGCATTGGGCAGCTCCATATAGCAGACATTTTTCATTTAATAACCTACCCATGTCTTCTTTTTCGACGGATACTGTACAGTACGTAGGCCTACTGATTTCGATTCATGTAAACACTAAACAGCACCTGTAAAGATATCTGACGGGTAGGCAGACTATTTTACATTTTAACATATTAACATTTACATGTCATATATTGGTGTCTGTGATGTCTAGACAATGTAAATTTATATGTAAAATCTACATTGTATGTGTAGCTCTGGCAAACTCAGCAGTACATTCGAATATATTTACATTGGTTTGTTCATCACAATTACCACAGACAGATAGAAGAGGGCTTCAATTATTTCATGAAATATTCCAGGGGTGCAGATAACGTACATGTAAGTGAGAGTAACTTATAAGGAGTATCGAGGATGCCCCTCTAGCATCAGTGTCGGTTTGGACACTACATGAATGTAATGGGTTGTGTGCTGATTCAAGTAGCTTTTATACTCAGGAACTTCAAAAAACATTTTTACAGATTCAAGTTGCCGGAGACTATGGTTCTGAATTCGAATATGACAGTGAAGCTGACAGACGAAGGTTTGTATATATCAATCATTAGGCAAAACAAATATAGTTTGTTTCCGGCTACCATACCTACCTACAAATGTACCCTATTTTTTTGCCAACTCAAAGATTTTGTTTTGGTAAATTTCAAGAAAGCCCTGATAAAGTCAAGATCACTCTCCTATATAAACCCACAGACTTAGATAGAAATCTAATCTGATTCTGTGCTAAACTTAATACAAAAAAAGTAAATTTCATTACCTACTTAACAACCAAATCTTTTTTCAGACATGTAACAGGAAACAACATGTTTTTTTTGTTTGGCCTATGTTTTGGGCAATAATATTAATATTGCAATACCCAGTCTGAAAACAAATACGTTAAAATATGTTTTTGAAACATTTACATTTTTTGTAGGTTAAGCAATACTGTGCAATATTTTTGAACTAATTGTTTTGGGGTTCAATAAGCACATATGTGAAATATTTTTTCTGATACAATGTTAAGATTGAATCAATATTGTTCGCCTTAATCTTGCTTGGTATGATAAGTACCAAAAGTACATTTTGATATGAAATAATTTTATTTTATTATTCAAGCTTGCTGAAATGATGCTCACTTTTTGTATTTGATATTTAGAATCATTGTTAATACACTGAATTTCTTGGATTATATTTAAAATATTGTGATATACTGCAATATTGCTATATGTATATATACCCATCCCTAGAAGTTATCATAAAACAGTCAATTTATATCATATTCTGATGACATTATATCTTAGTTGCTCTGCCTATTTTGAATTTTACTTAAGTAATTTTTCAGTTACTTGGTTTGCTCTTTCTTCAGACACAAAGATGACAATTTGTTGAAGAAAAGAAAACGGTCTACAGATGGAAAACCCAAAAGACGAGAAGCTGAAACGGAATACAGCAGGTTTGAGATACATTGTATAACATCAACTTGTTTTTGATAAATGCATATTACTTGTTCAATTAAACATTCGTAGGAGCTGCCTTATCAGGCGCTAACTACTAGTCCTATGTCACCTAGCTAATATCTCCCTATGTGTGTATGCCTGCTGGAGATGTAATGTGTTCTGTTTGTAGTGGGACCCTGCTTCCAACGGTATCGTTTAAAGTGCCACCTCACTTGAATGCTACAGCACAGATACCGCAACACCAACCCAAAAACATTTTATACTCCACCTGGGTTGTTGGAGTTGTGTGAGTTGGAGAAAAATTCTTTCTCTGAATATTCCATGCATACGATGATTTCAGGGATGGAACCCCTAGCCACCTGCGTGGGAGGCCGGAGCGTTAACAACTCGACCAATCCGCCCATTTAAGTCCCATTATCCTTATTTTTGTGATATTCCGTGGTCCTTAGATCTCAAGAATGAAACTATGATATCACAAGTCACTTTTCACAGGGATACAGATTTGGTACATATACTTGATAAAAACGGTTCGGTTCTTCCCAAATGTCCTTTCGATATTTTATAAGATTTTCAGAACTGGACTTTTGGACATTGTACTCTGTTTGCCTTTTGTGTCCTGTGTGTTTGCAGATTCAATATTTTATGATTCTTCAGCATTTTTCACCTTAACAAAAAAGTACCAAAACATCCTATTATCACAGGTACTGAAACTACCATGTACCGAAACATCCAGGATTCTCACAAACGAACCATAAAGTCGTTTTCATAAAAATCAGTTGATATTTAATGTAGTTTGTTTTAGATTCTAACTCTTTATCATCAGCATTTATTAATTGTATGAAAATTGCTTGCACTTAATAATTGACATGGATTTTTGCGACTTTTTGAAAAAGAAAAAATTATTGAATATAGAATGTCTGAAAGTTGATTGATAAGTGATTGATGTGTTGTTTTATGTTCAGGTGATCATTATTGTTTTCCTTTGTAGAGAGGAGGCCAAAATACAGAGATACCACATTGTTAGTATGGACGCTGTATCCTTGTAAAACATATTGGTGGTAACACAGAGAGTTTCACCGATTTTCTACACAGGCCCTGAACAAATATTTTTATACTGTAACGTACGTTGTTTCCTCTATATTCATACGACACAATTGGAAGTTGCAGGTCTTTTTAGGGTGTTCAGATATTTTGAAATTATTCCCATGGGTCGTGAAACAGAACAAAAAAAAAAAATGGGGTGAAATGTGTATTATCAAGCTCTCTAATGACCTTGCTTTCCTGAACAGCAGTAGTTCGCACGACACAAGAAATTTGTGAACGACTACATGCTGTATTATGGAGGGTCGAAAGCAGACTTCAAAAGGGACACGTAAGTTTTTCTCGTAATTTGTTTTTCAGAAACTTTTGAATCCTAACATCAAAGTTTTACTTTATACACAAACAATGTACATATTAAACATTGTTGCAACGTTGCAAGACCGACTGGTCCCTTTGTCAAGCCATGAAGGGACCAGTAGGTTTTGCAACGTTGCGACATACTTAATACATACATTGGTTTGGTTTAATATTGTTTAATGACCTGTCAACAGCTATTAAAGGTCATTTAAGGCCGTAATACATTGGTTTGGTTTAATTTTGTTTAGCGTCCTATCAACAGTTATTAAAGGTCATTTAAGGCCATAATACATACATTGGTTTGGTTTAATTTTGTTTAGCGTCCTATCAACAGTTATTAAAGGTCATTTAAGGCCGTAATACATACATTGGTTTGGTTTAATTTTGTGTAACGTCCTATCAACAGTTATTAAAGGTCATTTAAGGCTGTAATACATACATTGGTTTGGTTTAATTTTGTTTAACATCCTATCAACAGCTATTAAAGGTCATTTAAGGACATAATACATACTTTGGTTTGGTTTGATTTTGTTTAACATCCTATCAACAGCTAAGGTCATTTAAGGACGTAATTAAACATACATTGTTTGTGTTTGAAGTAAAACTTTGATGTTACATATTTCCAAACTGGTGAATCTTATTGAAGAAATTTTGAATTCTATTGAACATTTTATATAGCTTAGTCATAGCATTAAGAGATACATTGTAGTGACACTTAGGACATGAGTTGTTATATTTCATATTCTTACAGAGAATATTACCGTAAAAACCCATGTAATTTGCACACTTTTTTTCCATAAATTTAATACCCAAAGTGGGGGGTGCGTATATGCAGGTATAAGAAATTTCAAGGTTTTTTTCAGGAAAAGATCCACGATTCTGGTAGACCGCCATCTTGGATTATCTCCCTTGGTAGCTCCATCTATTGACAAAATTTCAGTATTTAAAAAGAAAGATATTTCGAGAAAAGAAATGGTTGTCAGTCCCTAATGAAACCCTTTTTCTTAGTATTTAACAGTGGTAATGACATTTCACCATAAAATTGAACTGACATTTTTTATACTAAAGGTGTTGCTGTTTATGTGTTGCTGTATCTGTAGGTCCAGAGACAAGACAGACATGGACGTGATACGTGAGAACCACCAGTTTCTGTGGGACGATGATGACGGAGAAAGTGATGATTCCTGGTATAAATGACTCGGCATGAATATTTGTGATTTGCTCATATTTACTAAATGCATTTCTTTTCTCTTTTTTTGTTTTTTGTTTAAAGTTGTTTTTGTGTGGCCAATATTATCATATATATGCCAATGAAGCCAAAATTCACATTGTTAAAGACAATTACCTGTTTTTTTATGTGCAATTTCCAAGATACATGTAGGACAAACTTGGAAATAAAATTTCACTGACATATTATTTTGTAAGAAAATGACAAAATGCACCACATATTACTTAGAACAGATCTCACGTATTTAAAATAAGTCATTTATTGTCAACTGAAATGATTCAAAATTTTGGAAGATAAAATGTTAAGCAATTTTCTTTCTCTAGCATTATGCACATGAATATTTCAATTTTCAGAAAATGACAATACTGAGTTATCTTTTTTTTATTAATTTAAGTTAAATTTTGTACTATAAAATATTTATTCCTGCCATGTGTAGTTCTTGTATTAAAGCAATATTTTCTTGTCTCATAGTATGAGTACAATTTTAATAAAGGACTTGAAGAAATAATTTTCTAACCAGGCACCTACATCTGCCCTTGTATTAACAATATCTCAACATTGCTATAAAGTCATCCTCCAGAAAAAGTCATCCTCCAGACTACCAGACAGAATTTTTCCATAATTCCTGATAAAAATAAACCGTTTTATCTAAATATTTTGGTATTACCTCCCTTTGATCATATTATTTTTTAATTTTCAGGGAAAGACGATTAGCAAAGAAATATTTTGACAAACTGTTCAAAGAATACTGTATTACTGATCTAAGCAGATACAAAGAGAACAAGGTGAGAATCTTAAATGATCTTAATTCTTATATTTTATTTTATTTTTGTTTAACGTCCTATTAACAGCTTAGGTCATTTAAGGACGTGACTCCATATGTGTAGTGTATGGGTGCTTGCGTGTGCGTATGCGCAGGAGACAGGGTATATTGGTGTGCTTGCCTCCTTGTGATAGCGCAGATCTGATGCGACTTTATAGTGCTATCTCACTGAAATACCATGCCGAGGCGCATAGCATTCCGCCTGGTCACATTATACTGACAACGGGTGAACCAGTTGTTGCCATTGCCTGAAATGCTGAACGTTAAGCAGGGAATAACAACCACCATTTTTAAGGACTTTGTTAGGTCCCGGCCTAGGGACAGAACCCAGTGCCTTCCTCACCTGGGCGAACGGTCAACATTAAGGCCAAACGTGAGGTTAATTTTTATAGCAGAAATATGTATTACTGAATTTAATTAGATGGAACAAAGTGAATAAGATTATGGTCTTGATACCAATCTTGTTTGTACAACTGTATGTTATTTGAAGCTTGTGCAACAAACATAGGATATATCCATTGTGCTGTTAACTATCTGTAATTTTTGAACCAGTTTTTGGCGTATTTAATAGCTTCTTACTGGACATACAAATATGTTATATCGTTTTCCTGAAGGTCTATAATTTGCCTAATAGGTTGCCATGAGGTGGCGTACAGAACAAGAGGTTGTGCAAGGCAAAGGTAGAGTTTGAATATCTTTTTTTAACTTTTCCTGGTATATGTGAAAAATCCAAGAGAAGTGTACATGTAATTGTTTGGTAAAACTAAAACATTTTCTTTTTACTAAAGCAAAAATATTTATTTGTGTTAATTAATTCTGTTCAATAGATTCCATGTATCCAATACGTATTGTAAGATTGAATTCCAACAGATTGTAGACATCATTGTAAGATCGATTAATTGTAATTTGTTTAATTATGTGAAGTAACAATAACTGTTGAATGTTCTTGGAAGAACTTATGTTAATACAGTTGATATATTTCCTGTTTACTTTGTTGTTTACTGCTTCTCATGTACAGGTCAGTTCATTTGTGGAAGTAGAAAGTGTCCCGAGAAAGGAGGACTACGAAGTTGGGAGGTCAACTTTGGATATCTGGAACATGGCGTCAAGAAAAATGCTCTAGTCAAATTACGTAAGTGAAATGTGAAGGTTTTTGAATGGATTCAAATAATGCAGTTATACATAACACTACAAAGCAAGTGTACACCAAATTTCCTATATCATTATTTCAAGTTTGTGTTCAGATTTTAAACCTTATAACTGTTTGTTACTCTTCCAGGGTTGTGTCCAGATTGTTCCTATAAACTCAACTATCATCACAAGTGAGTATAATATACTTTAATGCTGGGGTGGAATTAACCGTGAGTATAATATACTTAAATGCAGGGGTGGAATTAACCGTGAGTAAAATATACTATACTGCAGTGGTGGAATTAACCGTGAGTAAAATATACTATACTGCAGTGGTGGAATTAACCGTGAGTAAAATATACTATACTGCAGTGGTGGAATTAACCGTGAGTAAAATATACTATACTGCAGTGGTGGAATTAACCGTGAGTAAAATATACTATACTGCAGTGGTGGAATTAACCGTGAGTAAAATATACTATACTGCAGTGGTGGAATTAACCGTGAGTAAAATATACTATACTGCAGTGGTGGAATTAACCGTGAGTATAATATACTATACTGCAGTGGTGGAATTAACAGTGAGTATAATATACTATACTGCAGTGGTGGAATTAACCGTGAGTATAATGTACTTTAATGCAGTGGTGGAATTAACAGTGAGTATAATATACTATACTGCAGTGGTGGAATTAACCGTGAGTATAATATACTATACTGCAGTGGTGGAATTAACCGTGAGTATAATATACTATACTGCAGTGGTGGAATTAACCGTGAGTATAATATACTATACTGCAGTGGTGGAATTAACCGTGAGTATAATATACTATACTGCAGTGGTGGAATTAACCGTGAGTATAATATACTATACTGCAGTGGTGGAATTAACCGTGAGTATAATATACTATACTGCAGTGGTGGAATTAACCGTGAGTATAATATACTATACTGCAGTGGTGGAATTAACCGTGAGTATAATATACTATACTGCAGTGGTGGAATTAACCGTGAGTATAATATACTATACTGCAGTGGTGGAATTAACCGTGAGTATAATATACTATACTGCAGTGGTGGAATTAACCGTGAGTATAATATACTATACTGCAGTGGTGGAATTAACCGTGAGTATAATATACTATACTGCAGTGGTGGAATTAACCGTGAGTATAATATACTATACTGCAGTGGTGGAATTAACCGTGAGTATAATATACTATACTGCAGTGGTGGAATTAACCGTGAGTATAATATACATTAATGCAGGGGTGGAATTAACCGTGAGTATAATGTACTTTAATGCAGGGGTGGAATTAACCGTGAGTATAATATACATTAATGCAGGGGTGGAATTAACCGTGAGTATAATATACATTAATGCAGGGGTGGAATTAACTGCTGGTCTGATGGCCCGTGGTTTTCTAGGCAGACCAGTAGGTTTTTAACAAGCTATCCCGCTGGGCCAGCAGGTATTTTGTAAATTTATGTAAAATTTCAGCAGATTTTAAAAGCTTTTTGTTTGAAGCCTAGAATGCACCACAGAGCTTCTAAATTTCAAAATTTTCCGAGGACATGCACCTGTACCCATTACTATCGAGCGCCCTAAATGGTGCTTACTCGGGCACCTAGCCCTCGTTTTCTTGACCAGTGCACTTCAAACAGGACCAGTGAATTTTTACTTCAACTGGACCTTTGGGCCAGTAACCCCCATTTTTAATTCCACCCCTGTTAATGCATGTAAAATGTTCTGGGAAATTTATAAAATGGGCTAATTTGATATTTACTGGGGAACAAATAGTTGGGAATGCACCAGTCATATTCCTTACCTCTCCACTCCTAAAATTGACCCAAAGTTCATATACTCACCCTGAAAAAACTATGTCTCACCCATTTTAAGATCATCACGTACGTTTTTGTGGAAATCCTTTGATATACATTGTGGTTTGATACGTATATACGTATATATTTATAATAAGGATCTTACACAAGTTTCCAAATCATATTAGATTCAGGAAACATTCTAGAGAGCAAGCATAAATGAGAAATAAGGGATTAGATTTATACGGGAAAATTTCTTCTGAAATGTATAGTCAAGTTTAAGATGTTTTTTAAATATTAAAAAGAATTCTTGTGAATGAGTATAAAATTCTACCAGCTTGATATTGTATCCCTTTTGGCATAATATGATCTCAAAATCTATGATGTCATTTCATTATCATTTATTGACGTTCACATGTAGATTAATTGTGCTACACAAGTTCTTTCACAAATTACTAACATGTAATAAGCAATGCATTTCTGATGAAAACAAACTTTTGGTTTTGAAATGAAAATCATAGTAATGCAGTATGAAATATGATATTTTTATGTACAATTGTTTTTTGTTGATAGAAAAAAAGAAGTTTTACATAAAAAGAAAAAGAAGACGGACAAAAATACCGAAGAAAGTGACAAGACGAAGCGACACAAGACAGATCACGATCATTCTAAAGATGGTGAGGACACTTAACTTAAAATTCATTACAGATTCATTCATTAGTCTGTGTAACGCAGGGAAGCAGAGAAAGAAACATATCACATTCCTATAGCAAGGAGCTAGTAAAATCTTCTTCTAGACATATGAAAATTAAGGGCCACTGGTTCATTTTAGTTTTTGATATCTAAAAGACTGTTTTAATTTACAAAGATATATTTACAAACATAGCATCAAGTGTGTTGTACCTAATTTGGGTCTGGATCAGAATTTAATCCTTTCGGAAATTTAATTCTTGATCAATCCCAGATATTTTCCCCTAAAACACAGGAAAGTATCAGTTATGATTATGAGATGGATGCATTGGTTATACGATACATATATAGGAGGGCTACGGTGTCCAAGTGGTGAAGGTGTCTGACCGTCTCCGATCACTAGCCCTCTACCACTGGGTCTGGGGTTTTAGGCCTACCGGTACATTGGGCAGTTGCCAGGTACTGGCCACAGGTCGTGGTTTTTCTCGGGGCACTCTGGCTTTCCTCAACCACCAAAACCTGGCTGGCCCTTAAATACCCATAGCTGTTCCACATGACTGACTTTGGTTATACTTTGGGGTTAGCTTCTTTAAAGTAGAATTAACGGCAATCAGAATGTTTTAAATACATTTTCTAGTTTCTGTCATGTGTTTTAATCACATTCAGGCACAAACAAATATATCAGCGTTACCCTATATATGTGATCGGATTTTAATGTTGTCCATCTTTGTGAGATAGGTTGTTTCTGTTGTCATGTTTTTAGCTGGCTTCTGAATAGCGATTGTAGAATAATTTGATCATGGATAATTATGATATCTTTTATATACCTGTCTCGTGAATGTACCTGTACGTTGTGTTGTGTATTTAACAGGGTGCAGTGGTGACGTGACAGAACCCCCTGGAGGGTCAAAAGAGACCGGTCAGTCCATCTGGTCAGGCCCGGCCAAAATCGCAGAGGATAAATCACGGTATTTAAAATTTTGCACTGCTGATCATGTTAAATATGTTTTATGCACTGCTGGGAAGTACTGTACTATAAAATAACTAGCATGGGAATGTATTTCTTGAGAAAAAACTTTTCCCTACAACCTGTCAACCAAGTTGGTGTGCTGATTTCATAATATTTTTAATATAAGTTAGAAAACTACTACAGTTGAACCACTACATTACACATCTGATAGATACATTGCTAGTGATAGTTATCGCTATTCATGAAAAATTCAAATGCAGAGAGTATTAATGTACAACTTCGTGTATCATTTGGTCTCAAAACTCAGCTGGTTAACAGCTGGTAATATATAAATATTCAGTGACCATACAAAGCTTGAAATTTTTGTCAGAATCCGGTCAGATTTATTACTGATAGTTGCAATTTTTCTTAAAAGTGGTTGAAGTGTTGGTGTAATTAGTGTTGACACTTCTATGTATTATGTATTAGGTATCTTAGGTACTGATGATGCATGCAGGTTCCCGAGCTAACCAGCATTGATGCAGGCATAATTCAATTTTTTAACTTTTTTTTCACAAACGTTTGGGTCAATTTTTTTATAGAATTGGTGAGCATACTGGTATTGAACAGGTCTTTTTGGATGTTTGGAAGTACTTAATTACTGGACATAATTTGTTTTAAAATATCAGAGTTTTAATTTTTACACAATGCATATCACAACGTTTCGAGACCAACTGGTCCCTTTGTCAGGCTATGACTGAGTGACCTGTCAGTTTTAAAACGTTGCAACATGTTTAATACGTACATTGTTTGTTTATAAAGTAAAACTTGGATATTACAAATGAAATATGAGAGGAAAAATGCATGGCCAAACCAGGGCTATCTAGTTGCCGAAGATCGAACAAGTTCAGTTCCGCTACATATATTTCCAAACTGATGAATCTTATTGAAGTTACTTTAATTTGTTTTGTTTACTTTAATATTTGTTTTTTGTACAAACATCACCATATCGTAATTATTTCTTACATTTGTCATTTCAGAGAGGAAGAATTTGACGACTATTTCAACGACATGTTCCTATGACAACGGAAAACTTTTGAATAAACAGAATCTACCCAAGCCATATTTAAAATGTGTGGAGAACATATTTTATGATATTCACATATTTTGAAATAGGAGCTAGCATATCAAGGTCAATGATGAGCAAGATTATGCAGTTTCTAAAACCATGAACGGCGTACAGACTTCTACCTCGTAAGGAATAACCAGTTTCCACTACGGCAGATGTTATGTAGAGTTCTCCATGCTTAGAATGAGGGTCAGATGAAAATACAACAGCTAGACTTTACATGAATTCTCTAATGTGTAATATCAATTAACAATTCATTCCGCCCTCTATTCATGTCGTTTACGTAAGGATAATGTCATGTTTGTTCTTATGTTGCCTTCCGCCTCAAAACTCTACAGCCTTCCTTCTTCTCAAGGTGCAGGAACGGTAGCTAAGTGTGATCAATTTTATTTTATTCTGAAGTTTTAAATATTTCATATTGAAATTTTAGGTCCGTTAATCTAAAATTTAAAAAACAAAATGCCTAAATTTTAAAATAAAATATCTAAATATTTAAATTTCAAAATATCTAAAATTTTGAAAATTTTAAATTTTCAAATTTCAAAATAAAAAAAAGCAATCAGACCTTGAGCTGCGGTTTCTGCAGCTACTTTCTGCTCCATCTTAATGTGAACATGATTTTAATACATGGTTGTAAAATGTCTTTTGACGTGAATGCAATGACGGACATCTCTGTTACGAACCAAGTCAGGCCACAAATTAAAGGATTCACCTGTTACAAATGGAAAATGCACATTAAACCATTTCAATTAAAACTACTTTTATTTTTCATGTTTATAACTCAATTTACAGGGTGTAACCCTTATTTCATCACTTAAGGAGTAGAATACAGACTAGATATTTTTGTTCAACAAATAAAAAGCTCATTATCATTTGCATTTTCTATATATTTTACATGAATGCAATAAAAAAGTGATGGATAGAAGTAAGCAAATAACTTAAAGTCGACAGAGAAAGAAATCATAATTTTTCTATCATATTTTACATTTGAAGTAAATCATCAAACTGAATCCTGTATATCGTGAAATTTTCGCCCAGTGTTTATTTCGCCCTTTACATAACATTACTATGTACATGTACATTATGTTGTCTACCTATATTCATTGTAACGATTATTTAGCCATCAGAGGGCGAAAATTAAACCGAGACAAAAATTTCCCAGTATACAGTACGTAAGTATACAGATATCAAAGAGAAAATGACATTTTACATGAGCGATCTGGGCCTCAGCAGGCAGTGTAAGGAATAAAACACGTTTGTATTGTATTCAGTTCTTTATTCTTAAAATAAATAATGTTACATTTACATAAAGCACTGGTTTGATATAAAGTAAATGAAACAATATATTTGCCCATCCTGGACACAATACAATTATCTGTGAGTGAAGATGTATTTATAATGCTACAATACTACAATACATTATCCATTATTAAACAACCAGTTGTCATATAACAAAACGGTTTTATATGAATTGTTCATATTCAATTTTCAGTAAAATTTTGTATTGTCTAGCATTGCTTGTGATTTGTTGAAAAAAAGAAGTTTTGAGATTGTTGGGTATGTGGTATTATCTTCGAAATGCTTGCTGTTCGGTCTGATTCCCCAATATTTGCTAACTTGAATGTTTTTAAATCCCCGACATTTACATAGTATATACTTTGTTTAAGTGGGATGAAAGTTGTAGACTAGACACAATTTTCTTTTCCGTCTACCTTTTTAGATGGGAAATAAAAGTGTACGACTCTGAGAGTACTTGCAATGGATGTGCACCCAGAAAATAACAAAACAATGTAAATAGGAAGGATTTTTTCTGTATACATACCAACATGAAAGGCAATCTATGACTTGAACTTACGGTACACCAATTCAAACATGTTTAACCCTTTCACCGACCCATTCCCTCACGAAGTCAACTTCAGGACGATGGCTTCCCCAGGAGACTTAACAATAATATAATTTATAGATTGTAAAACTTCAAAATGTCTTTAATATATTAACTTATTTTATTTTAACATTTTATGACGATCATCAGTTACGCAAACTTATATCAGTGTATTGTGAAGACGTTGTATGTTACTGGGGTTTATTTGTAACTGGTAGGAATTCAAACCCACAAATCCCTAAATACAGGGAGTCGTCAGGAGGAAGCCCTTCGAATCCCTGTTTACATTAAAATACCCTGACATTTCAATATATAATTGTAAGACGTTGCCCTCACCCCTTAACACATAAATTAACACTGAATCACTTAGTTCTGATGTTCCCCATCATTTTAAACTTTGACATACATACCTAGGCACCTTGTTTTAAAACAGTCTATCGAATATTACATATAACAAGGAAAGATGCTAGAAACTGGACAATAGAAAAATCTTTGCTGGATTGATCGATGTAAGGAGAGGGTTGAGAGTTAAACCCAAATTGTAAAAGCTAAAAAATTATAACATAAAACATGTAACTAACCCTTATATATACATATAAGGTGTGATTCTATTAGAATGTATGTTGATATGATAATAGTGAGGAAATATGAGTTGTCTAGAGGTCATTTCTTAGGAATGTTGCTTAGTATTCTTGTGTAGAACCATTAATATCCTATACTGTATTGCACATGTGTTAAGTTAAGGCCTACTTCTAAAACAATATTTCACAGTTTTCAATAAGGTTCATCAAGGTAGCTTGACAAAAGGACCAGTCGGTTTTGAAACGTTGCAACACGTTTAATACGTACAGTGCATTGTTTGTGTAGAAAGTAAAACTTTGATATCAATATTTCACAGATAATGGTCATTTCTAAAAACCAATATGGTATAATTCTTTGACATCCACCAGTATATAAACTTCATAATGAAAGAATAGTCATGATGTTTATGCACTACCTAGGCAGTACAAGAATAAAATATGAAAGCCAACATAATTTTGCATGTTTAATACAAAACAGTTTATCAAGAAAATATCTGTTCATGATTTGTAGAGTTAACAGTTTATGTTCGAGAGAAGACTATATCAGGTTATATTTCAATGATGTTGATAAAATCTCTTCATAGACTGCTTCCATCACAACGCAGAAATAGAGACTTCAAGTTATACTCCAAATATCATCCTCAGATCTGCAAGCGTCAGCTTGGTCTTGGATACGCCGGATCTACAGCAGAAAATGCATATGACAAGATAACATAAAAGACACCAAATAGTAGATAATATTATAGACACAAAATAGTGTCTAAATTAAATGCTGTAAGTGTAAGATTAATACTATATACATGTACCGGGAAACTGTCGTTCAGTCAAATATACTTTTTTCAGATTGTTTCTCCTATTGGTAAGCTAACACCAAGAAAAATAACAGGTAGAAGAATTATATATATATATATATTTTTCACACTAAAACCTTACATTTCACTGGTAAAGAAAGTAAATAATCAGTTTATCGAGTGGTTAACTGTTCCCGAGGTCTTATGCATGTGAAGTGAATGATTTATCTGAACATAGAACATCCCATTCTGCTAAGTCTTTGTTTGAAAGCTATCCTAAATTTTCTCACAAATAGTCTCAAATTTTCACACAAATAGTCTCAAACTTTCACACAAATAGTCTCAAACTTTCACACCAAAATTCTCCATAAAGGTACAAGATACGGATCTCTGTAAATTAAATGTACTAAACATCGATGTTTAGCAACAGAGAACTGTCCTGTTGTTGATACATACCCTGACAATACGTTATCTGCGATGGCCTGTTTCCGCTTCTGTAACTGGACAATCTTCTCTTCAACCGTGTCACGACACAAAAACCTGTTGATAAACAAATTTGAATTCTACAATGTTGACAAATATAGAAATAACAACAGCACAGCTCAAAACTAAATCACTTCTATCCAGGGTTGGCTTTCTACCCGTTACATTTGGCAAATAAATTTAATTAACATGAGTAGTACTCCTGAACAAAACCTGGAGTCCTTATGTAACGCGAAATGACACAATTTGTTATGTGAAAATAAGCGACTTGCGTTGCTGTTACCGTCAATGAACAAGTTAATGGCAAGAAAATGACAGCTGAAGGGTTGTCAGATAAACAAGGGAATATCTGACAGAAACTTGTGGATATAACTGAACCAATCACTGAAAGAGTTCAACAAGAGGCCCAAGGGGTCTGAGGCGCTCACCTAGTATTAATCTCACACCAGTAACCTTAATAGTGGGCCAGGGCAAACATATTAAAATTGCCCTGGGCCAGATGAGCTGAAACATGGCGCCAAGCAGTGAGAGGGTGCCACCAGATTAGATTTCTGTTGAGATTTGGATATTTTGTAACAAAGAAAAATTTCAAACCTGTGTATAAAGACATCTCTCTTTTGTCCAACACGATGGATTCTATCACAAGCTTGTTCCTCCAGGGAAGGGTTCCTTCAAAAATTATAAAATCACTTAACATGATAGGTAATGGAAATGATGTGCATACAATTTAAATATACAATTTCATTTTGTTAAAAGCAACATTACTAAAAATGTATTAACTATAACACAAATCACAGGTATAAATAGTAAGGAAGCATATAGCCCTAACTCTGGACACGAATCACCAGTACAATGTATAAGGTAGCATACAGCCTTAACTCTGACACAAATCACCAGTACAATGTATAAGGTAGCATACCGCCTTAACTCTGGACACAAATCATAGTTATAGATAGAAAGGAATCAAAAAGCCGTAACTCTGACACATATCACAGGTATGAATAGTAAGGTAGCGTACAACCTTAACTCTGACACAAATCACCAGTACAATGTTTAAGGTAGCATACAGCCTTAACTCTGGACACAAATCACCAGTACAATGTATGAGGTAGCATACAGCCTTATCTCTGGACACAAATCTCCAGTACAATGTATAAGGTAGCATACAGGCTTAACTCTGGACACAAATCACCAGAACAATGAATAAGGTAGCATACAGCCTTAACTCTCGACACAAATCACCAGTACAATGTATAAGGTAGCATACAGCCTTAACACTGACACACATCACAAGTTCAATGTATAAGGTAGCATATACAGCCTTAAGTATAAGAAGCTTGTTTAAATACAGTGTTGCCTTAACCATACCAGTGTTGGTCCAGTAAGAACAGATGGTTGCCTCCGATCAAGTTGAGCCCAACTCCTCCGGCTCGAAGGGATACCAGCATCACTTCTGGTCCCCCGCTGCTCAAATTGAACGCATCCACAGCTTCTGCACGCTTCTTTGGTGGAACGTTGCCCTTGATTATACTGTAGTTGATGTTGAGTTTATCCAACTGAAGGCCAACAATCTCCAACATCTTAGTCCACTGAGACACGATAACACTGTGAACATAACACAATCACGTAAGTTGATAAAACAGATCAAGCAAAGATATAAAGAAATGTTTTTGCATGTTTATGGAGAAATAGGAAATTTCACCCAAGTGTTGTGGATAGAAGTTTGAAGGTATATCAACAGATACAATGTCAACTTATGGTCTCAATTAGTTTTATTGCGGAAAGTGTTCGCATATTTTGACTATTTGAAATACAGGGATTTCAGCATACAGTTGCATTTTCTTTATCTATTAACAAACAGTGCCACTAAACACACTTTTAATGTTTGAACACATAGCATTGTATGTACCCTCACACAGCTATTCAGACCCCTAAAAGACAAAAAAAACATTTTTTTACCTTTTCTGCCTTTTTTCCTTGCCTTCTCCGATTTCTTTCAGTTTTTCTAATAAGAATTTCATCTACAAAACAATGAAAAACAAGTTAATATCAACATCAAAGGAAAGAGGGGTTGCAGTGGCCTGGAGTATAAGGTTTCTGACCATATACAATCACTAGCCCTCCTCCACAGGGTGGCGGGTTCAAGGCCATCGTGGGGGAGTCGCCAGGTACTGGCCGCAGGTCTGTTTTTTCCCCTGGATATTCTGAGTTTTCCTTCATTACCAAAACTTGGCTCATCCTTAAATGACTATAGCTGTTAATAGGAGATAAAGCAAAATTGAACCCCATCAAAAGAAAGAAAAAAATCATGTAAACAAGATTAAGTGCAAATGATGCCTTTAATGTTTTTCTAATATAAGGTATTTCTAATATAATGAACAATATCATCAATTGCTTAATAAACAAGGATGTTAACTGTAAAACACAAGATCAAATCTGTGGTGAATGTGTTTCTGTAAGCAGTACTATCAGGGGTATACAAGGAACTTATACTAAAATGCCTATTGCAGTTAAAAACAGGTCTTAAAGTAACATCAAAGTTATCTGACAAACCTTTGTGCTCAGAAATGACTGTTCGAAGATTGGCGAGGCTTTAGTCAGTTTGGGTTCCTCGGGTTTGCCTGGCTCTTCCAGCATAAGGTCTCTCATCTGTTCAGCAATGTCTAATTCCAGTCCTTCTGACTCGGCAGTCTCCTCGTCAAATGCCTGGAATATATATAAACTTTCAGAAACATTTCCAGACACATTATCTGAAACGAATAACTCTCAAACATTGCAGACTTCTTCTCTCAAATATGTAAACTTTTCTTAAATTTATTAAAAAAACAAGATGCCCAGAGGGCCTGTATATTTAAGCGACCTCAATGGATGTAATATGGCCTAAAAAGTCTTAAAGATAGGGTAAGTCCCTTGTGCATATATTATAATAGGGTTATAGGGTCTCAAAGGTTATGACCCAATGCCTTAGTCCCTAAGGGTGTTGCCAGACCCAAGGGTCAATTCTAATACAAAGACTGTATTTGTCTGTTTATGCCCAGCTATTTTATATATGGCTTAAGGTGGGATCACAACAGTTCCAAAGCTATGATCAAGGAGGGGTCAAGATTATTAGAACAGATTAAGCTATGTATACCAGCATCCCAAGAGGGTCCACCCAGAGTGCAGTTTTGTATTATTACAAAATACACAGCTATATCTACCCAAAGTACAGGTATGTCTTATTACACAATACATATTATATCTATATACAGTACAGGTATGTCTTATTACCAAATACAGTCAGGTATATCAACCTACAGTACAGGTATGTCTTATTACCTAATACACAGTTATATCTACCTACAGTACAGGTATGTTTTATAACCTAATACACAGGTATATCAACCTACAGTACAGGTATGTCTTATTATCTAATACACAGTTATATCTACATACAGTACAGGTATGTTTTATTATCTAATACACAGCTATATCAACCTACAGTACATGTATGTTTTATTACCTAATACAGTATATCTTATGACCTGATACACAGTTATATCTACCCACAGTACAGGTATGTCTTATAACACTAGACACAGATATATCTACCCACAGTACATGTACATCTTATTACACAATACACAGGTATATCTACCTACAGTACAGGTATGTCTTATTACCAAATACACAGTTATATCGACATACAGTACAGGTATGGCTTATAACACAATACACAGGTATATCTACCTCCAGTACAGGTATGTCTTATTATCCAATACACAGGTATCTCTTCCTACCGTACATGTATGTCTAATTACCCAATACACAGATATATCTACCCTGAGTACAGGTATGTCTTATTATCCAATACACAGGTATATCTTCCTACCGTACATGTATGTCTAATTACCCAATACACAGATATATCTACCCTGAGTACAGGTATGACTTATTATCCAATACACAGATATATCTACCCACAGTACAGGTATGTCTTATAACATAATACACAGGTATATCTACAGGTATGTCTTATAACACAATACACAGGTATATAAACCTACAGTACTGGTATGTCTTATTACCTAATACACAGGTATATGAACCTACAGTACAGGTATGTCTTATTATCTAATACACAGTTATATCTACATAGAGTACAGGTATGTTTTATTATCTAAAACACAGCTATATCAACCTACAGTACATGTATGTTTTATTACCTAATGCAGTATATCTTATGACCTGATTCACAGTTATATCTACCCACAGTACAGGTATTTCTTATAACACTAGACACAGATATATCTACCTACAGTACATGTACATCTTATTACCTAATACACAGTTATATCTACCCACAGTACAGGGATGTCTTATAACACAATACACAGGTATATCTACAGTTATGTCTTATAACACAATACACCGGTATATCTACCTACAGTACGGGTATGTCTTATTAACCAATACACAGGTATATCTACCTACAGTTCAGGTATGTTTTTTTTCCCGATTTACAGGTATATCTTCCCACAGGTCAGGTATGTCTTATTACCCAATACAGGGGTATATCTACCCACAGTACACCTACAGTACATGTACATCTTATTACCTAATACACAGTTATATCTAACTACAGTACAGGTATGTCTTATTACCTAATACACAGTTATATCTACCTAAAGTACAGGTATGTCTTATTACACAATACACAGGTATATCTACCTACAGTACGGGTATGTCTTATTACCCAATATACAGATAAATCTACCTACAGTACATGTACATCTTATTACCTAATACACAGTTATATCTACCTAAAGTACAGGTATGTCTTATTACACAATACATATTATATCTATATACAGTACAGGTATGTCTTATTACCTAATAAACAGTTATATCTACCTACAGTACAGGGAGGTCTTATTACCCAATAAACAGGTATATCTCCCCACAGTACAGGTATGTCTTATTACCCAATATACAGTTAAATCTACCTACAGTACATGTACATCTTATTACCTAATACACAGTTATATCTACCTACAGTACAGGTGTATCTTATTACCCAATACACAGGTATATCTACCTACAGTACAGGTATGTTTTATTACCCAATATACATGTATATCTACCTACAGTACATGTATATTTTATTACCCAATACACAGGTATATCTACCTACAGAACAGGTATGTTTTATTACCTAATACACAGGTATATCTACCTACAGTACAGGTATTTCTTATTACCCGATTTACAGGTATATCTACCTACAGTACAGGTATGTCTTATTACCCGATATACAGGTATATCTACCCACAGTACAGGTATGTCTTATTACACAATACACAGGTATATCTATATACAGTATAGGTATGTCTTATTACCCAATACACAGGTATATCAGGTATATCTACCTACAGAACAGGTATGTTTTATTACCTAATACACAGGAATATCTACCTACAGTACAGGTATGTCTTATTACCCAATATACGTATGTCTTATTACCCAATACACAGGTATATCAGGTATATCTACCTACAGAACAGGTATGATTTATTACCTAATACACAGGAATATCTACCTACAGTACAGGTATGTCTTATTACCCAATATACGTATGTCTTATTACCCAATACACAGGTATATCTTCCCACAGTATAGGTATGTCTTATAACACAATACACAGGTATATAAACCTACAGTACTGGTATGTCTTATTACCTAATACACAGTTATATCTACCTACAGTACAGGTGTATCTTATTACCCAATACACAGGTATATCTACCTACAGTACAGGGATGTCTTATTACACAATACACAGGTATATCTACCCACAGTACAGGGATGTCTTATAACACAATACACAGGTATATCTATATACAGTATAGGTATGTTTTATACCCAATACACAGGTATATCTACCTACAGTAGAGGTATGTTTTATTACCCAATATACATGTATATCTACCTACAGTACATGTATATTTTATTGCCCAATACACAGGTATATCTACCTACAGAACAGGTATGTTTTATTACCTAATACACAGGTATATCAACCTACAGTACAGGTATGTCGTATTACCTAATACACAGGTATATGAACCTACAGTACAGGTATGTCTTATTATCTAATACACAGTTATATCTACCTACAGTACAGGTATTTTTTATTTCCCAATATACATTTATATCTACCTACAGTACAGGTAGGTCTTATTACCCAATACACAGGTATATCTCCCCACATTACAGTTATGTCTTATTACCAAATACACCGGTATATCTACCCACAGTACAGGTATGTCTTATTGCCCAATACAGGGGTATATCTACCCACAGTACAGGCATGTCTTATAACACAATACACAGGTATATCTATCTACAGTACAGTTATGTCTTATTACCAAATACCGTCAGGTATATCAACCTACAGTACAGGTATGTCTTATTACCTAATACACAGTTATATCTACCTACAGTACAGGTATTTTTTATTACCCAATATACAGTTATATCTACCTACAGTACAGGTAGGTCTTATTACCCAATACACAGGTATATCTCCCCACATTACAGTTATGTCTTATTACCAAATACACCGGTATATCTACCCACAGTACAGGTATGTCTTATTACACAATACACAGGTATATCTATATACAGTCCAGGGATGTCTTATTACCCAATACACAGGTATATCTACCCACAGTACAGGTATGTCTTATTGCCCAATACAGGGGTATATCTACCCACAGTACAGTTATGTCTTATAACACAATACACAGGTATATCTATATACAGTACAGGTATGTCTTATAACACAATACACCGGTATATCTACCTACAGTACAGGTATGTCTTATTACCCAATACACAGGTATATCTATATACAGTACAGTTATGTCTTATTACCAAATACCGTCAGGTATATCAACCTACAGTACAGGTATGTCTTATTACCTGTACTGTAGGTTGATATACCTGTGTATTAGGTAATAAAACATACCTGTTCTGTAGGTAGATATACCTGTGTATTGGGCAATAAAATATACATGTACTGTAGGTAGATATACCTGTATATTGGGTAATAAAACATACCTGTACTGTAGGTATGTTTTATTACCCAATATACATGTATATCTACCTACAGTACAGGTATATTTTATTACCCAATACACAGGTATATATACCTACAGAACAGGTATGTTTTATTACCTAATACACAGGTATATCTACCTACAGTACAGGGATGTCTTATTACACAATACACAGGTATATCTACCCACAGTACAGGAATGTCTTATAACCCAATACACAGGTATATCTACCCACAGTCCAGGTATGTCTTATTACCCAATACAGTCAGGTATATCAACCTACAGTACAGGTACGTCTTATTACCTAATACACAGTTATACCTACCTACAGTACAGGTATGTCTTATTACCAAATACAGTCAGGTATATCAAACTACAGTACAGGTATGTCTTATTACCTAATACACATCAACCTACAGTACTGGTATGTCTTATTACCTAATACACAGTTATATCTAACTACAGTACAGGTATGTCTTATTACCCAATACAGGGGTATATCTACCCCCAGTACAGGTATGTCTTATAACACAATACACAGGTATATCTATCTACAGTACAGTTATGTCTTATTACCAAATACAGTCAGGTTTATCAACCTACAGT